ATGAACAAATGGGCTGGGTCTGCCTTCTGGCATGAAATCCATTCCAAAAAGCCAGTTTAGTTTTCAAAATTGCATTGCGTAACAAGTAATATTTTTTTAAATTTATAATTAATGTATCACGCAGCCTGTCAAATCGCTTTTATACCTCTTCAGACGAAAATAACCACAGCCTAAGCAGGTAACAAAATGAATTCGTTTAGATGCAAATACATTTTTGATGTCACCTTTTCTAGTTTCCATTTGCATTTTGACGCCTTTTCTAATAAGATAATCGACTAAGTTGAAGCGGGAACACTCGACCGCTCGAAAGATTGGGGTAGCGCCGTTCAATGCAACCGCATCTAAATTGGCTCCATAACGTATCAGCAGTTCTGCCACATCAACCATGCCTGAGTGGGCGGCGTGATGCAATGGAGTCCATTTGAAGTTATCTTGTGCATTTGGATCGGCTCTTAAGAAAAAAGAATTAAAACACCAGTAAAATTAAGTGTAAAAAAGTATTATAGACGCTAAGTTTAGACAGCAAAATTTGTAGACTCCTTAGTTAACTCGAATAGACTTTAAAAGTATTTAATGGCGAAATGATTTTAATATTTAATATCTAGGCTCTAAAGTTGTGGTTGTAGACATCATTTAAGCAGTAACGTAGAAAGCTCAAAGTAGTTATTATGTTTTACTAAGTGTCAAAAACAAAAATGCCAGTGAAATTACCAAGTAATAGTTATAGAAGGATCAATGTATAATAAATATCTACATATAGTAAACCTAAAAATTACTGAAGAGCCACAACTGTAATGCATTTTTATTTTTGTCAAGTCCGGCTAGATAGGACAAGAAGTGTTGAAATATCACTGGGATTAGAAGACACAAATTCGTACAACTAGGTCTACACAATCTCGAAATAATGAAGGACTCTTATAGCTGTTTTTATGTGTTCAGGAAAAAAAAGACGACGGATAATAGTAGATATGAAAAAAGCTGCTATATCAAAAATGTAAACATAAATAGTTTCAAAAGTTAAATATTATAACTCTTTCGAACAAAATTCAAACTTATAATTTTATCCTAGAATTAAACTTAGTCAATAAAAATAGATGATGAAGCCAAAGGTAAATAAAACTTTTTAGAAGATAATTCTTTCGCTAGGTTGAAAAGGTGAAGTTAAATCGCTTAGTATAGGCAAGTAAACAACAGTTTTTTGTAAATTTTATACTCTGGATACACAATGAAGTATATAAATAAATAAATAATATAAACAATATATATATATATATCCTAATGGAAATAGATTATAAACGTTCTTGTTTGAAGCAAACAAGGAAAGTGAATTCTTAATGAATAATTTAAAAAAGCCTAAGCAATATTAAGGTGCAGAAGAAGCAGGCCAGGCGAAAATAAAATTTTAAATGAATACTTGGATAGAATTCATAAACTTGCAAAATATAAGAATAATATTTAATCCAAGTATTCTAAGATTTACTCTGATTGGATGAAAAAATATGTTAGGAGACTGACCCGAGCTCTAGAAGAGCCTTAGTCATTTCCAGATTACCCAAACGTGCGGCAACCATCAACGGTGTTTTGTAGTAGCGATCTCTTTGGTCCGGACTATATCCTTCAATAATAGCCTGCATAATGGAGTCTAAATTTAAATTAAATAGAAAATACAGTTCATTTCCTTAAAAAAACAAACATAAATCCAATCATAATAGCAAAGAAAACTACAATAGTAGAATTTTATTATTCGTAATATTATTACCGCCAAACTTGTCAGGAAACTTGTAGAGATAAATAATTCCAGTCGTTGAGTTTACTCCTTAGCGTTATCTAAGTGAGATGATCTCGTTTTCGCAACTTGGTCATGTTTCTAGGGTGACCTAGATGGACGCACCTTGTCTAGAGTTCTATGTTATGATAATTCCCAGAGTTGGATTGTGGACTTGGTACCGATGTTATAGTCTTCCTCGCCCGTGGATATTGCCATTCTCAGCACGAAACTACAACTCGTCAGAGATAAGTTGTGGCTTGACGAGTTATAGCCTATTGCTGATAATGGCAAGATCCAACGGCGATGCCAGCGAAACGTCTGGGAAACGCTGGAAATTATAACTACAATGGCAGATGACTACTGACAATGTGCTTCCATCTAGGTCGCTCTGAAAAAAACGACAAAGTTGTGAAAGCAAGGTCAAACAACTTCTATACAATGAAAGAAGACTGCGACCATACAAAAAGCTACACAATCTTGATCTTCATACCTTCAAAAAAAAAGTTGTTCCTACTATAGACACTCATTTAGATTACAGCCAAACTGACAATAAAACACATACAGACAAGCATTTGTCGGATAAAAATGATAGGATAAGATTGGATAGCAAAAGGCAGGTTAGAGTTGGGAAGATCAACATAGGATTAGTGAAAGTAGAGAAAGAGACAGAGTAAGGAAGATATATGAGCTACCTTTTGGATAAGGGTAATATAGCAAATAATTTCGGCTATAAACGGTTGTAAATATAATTGGTCAATAACGCTCCATTGGAGGGATTTATCATTGCAATGACAGGAGAGTTGGATCTAACATCTAATGCGACCATGTTGCAGTGATGAGTAAGACAAAACATGTCACTAATGGGAGTTAATATAAAGCTATCTTGACTTCACCTTCACAATTTAGTCTGGGTGACGGAAAGACCTTGCAGAGTGTAGCCGATCCTGCAACCACTGCCATAGTAGTCGTGATAATTTCCAGCATAAGAAGGTTGATTGAAACATTCCCCGAAATTTTGCTGCCATCAGTGAGCAATAACTTGTTAGAGATAGACGAGGTAAAGCAATTGATAAATTTTCTATTATGTTCTCTTCTCCTTCTCCTATTCTAGTTACGAAAAATGTATCCTCATCTCCCAATTCCAATGTATATGATCAACTTACCTATCTACAGTACTGTATCTTTGTTTGATCTAATAGCCTCCAAGATTTTCTCAATTCAATTAAGGATATATACAGGTAAATCGGTCATATGTATGGTAATGAGAGATAAGGATACAACCTTATGGCTGGGATGAGAAGTGGGGAACATAAAATGGATCAAGAGGATTGCCCTGTCTGATCACACTAGCGAGTTGTTGCTAGGCCCTAAGGCTGGTGCTTCTCGTTGTAAATGTCGGCAAAGCATAAAGGAATATGCTAAGTCAATGGTCCGGTGCTGGTAGAGAAGACAAGATTCATTAGGTTCTACAAGGCCTACTTCTAACTCTGAGTAAATTGCGAAAATGAAGTCGTAAAAACTCAATACAGTTAAAGTAGACCGCGACCAAACTTGAGGCCACACCATATATATATATATATATATAAAGTGTATCTACCCTATTTCGTTTAAGCTAATAAGGGGGCTGAAAATTCAATTATCCCACAACGCTATGAATACACCTAAAGTTTCAATTGCATTTCACATAGCCTAGCTTACTCATAAGGTATTCTCATCCAATGTGGAAAGCGTTTTGGCCCTACCTACCACTCCACAACGTGACTGGAACCAGGACAGTGCAGCGTATAATCTCGACACGTTAACCACTACGCCACATTGCCATGAGCACTCTTGGGTCGCAAAGCATATGTGAATTTCAAGTAAGGTCAGCTATTTTTACGTCACATTCTCTGGTGGGTATGTCGACGAAGCAAAGTTGTAGTTGCCATAGCAACCGATTATAGTACTTATTTTTCGTTTAGCAATAGGCTTTCGAGACTACCACTAGATCATATATATGAGGTGCATTTACCCTATTTCGTTTAAGATGATAAGGGGACTAGTTAATGAATATCCTTGGCCTTCCTTGAAATTAAAGTCTGCCCTGTGACTCAAGAGCACTCGTGGCAATGTGGCGTAGTGGCTAACGTATCAAGATTATACGCTGCACTGCCATGGTTCGACTCTCGCTTTGGGTGTCGATAACACCTCGGCGAGGGCGAAACTGAAGTATACTCTCTATGAGATTAACATTTTGGAAAGCAAGGCCAAGTAAGGCATACTCATACCATTGTGGGGAAAATTCGGCTAAGTTATAATCTTAAAAAAATTAGGGTGAATACACAATCTATTACAGTATTCATGATATATTCTAGTAACTAGCTGCCAAGATTGCCGTGAGTCTAGTCAGACAAAGGAAAGAGAAATAATATTTTTCTGATTGGTGCACAATGGAAGCGGAAATAGGTTAATAAGGAAGGCCATAGAGAGCATAGAGATAGAATAGCGAGGCTAGTTTGGCTAAAACTACACTACATCGACATAATGACTCAGAGGAATCTAATGAACAGGAGACTTGAAGAAGGCAGGATCAGCGAAAACTATGACTATTGCATAAACAAACTCGGAGAAGACCAGGCAACAGGAAGATCAGCAAAAAGAAGACGACTGGATCAA